TTTTGTTGTTTTGAGTCTTGACCTTTATATCTCTCTTTCCCATTTTCTAAAATCGCACTTGAGACAAAGGAGTCGCCTTAGACGCTCCGTGAAGTCGTCTGGCATGTACCCTTCGACCTGCACTTCCTTCACACCACAAGGCCAGAACAAAAGTTTAAATGGTATGCTGGCACACAAAAATATCTGCATTACTCGGTTGATTTTGAAACCCTGGAAAAAGGCATGCCTTTTCAAACTAGGAAAAAAATCGTTAGTTAAATTAATTAAGCAGGGAACTGTGAAGCTGTATCAGGACCAATGGTGAAAAAAGCAGAACTTTCTCCCTGAGCCAACTCATACATAGAACTCGTACGTACGACATACAAGTCGTACGTATGAGCATAAGCTCAAGGAGGAAAATCTAATCACCATGTTCCCAATACACCTTCGTAGTCCAGAGATTTAAGAGGTCCTCTAGGTCCAGGAGGAGCATTTGCAGCAAATATGCCCTTAGAGACGTGAGCTCTCTGTCTCCAGCTGTTGTCCAGTCGTGCTGGCAGGTTTGGCCCTTATTTGCTAACAAAAGCAAAACCACCCAGATCTGTGCGCAGGTTCAGAGAAGGGGTTGCAGCTCATATATACCGGATTTACAAAAATCATAAAAAGTCTACAAGCGTAAGCGGGGAGCCATTTGGTCCTTATAAAGGCATTTTTAAAAGCTGGGTGGTTTTGATGGTTTGCATAGCTACCATCTTGCGGGTTAGTGCTTTTGTCCCATAGGTTGTGCACAAAGAAAATTTCTCTGTGGAACAAAATAACTGCCCTGCAAGATGGCTACGGTTCCACAACTTCTATAATGTCCAATGCATAGTTCGCGGCATTATCAACCTGAGCAGGAGCACGTCCTCATCTGTTGAAAGAAGCCACGTTGGTCGGGAGTGCTCACTTTTGTTGGTAGCGATCCGACTGCAACGATTATTGTCACAAAATATGATTTATTTTGGAGATATCAGGAGTGTATGGGAAATCAAACCATAAGAATTATTATGTTGTATTATTGGATTCTTTGTGATTATATAAATCACGGGATATGATTGTATAAGTTAGAGATTATATGAGTGTATAAATTAATCAATTTTGACCTTGTAAAACAGCCCATGCAATGGACAAATTGATGTTTGATTATGAATCGAATGTAACTTTAAATGAAATAGGAAATTGTGGTTTTGAGTTGCCACTTTAAACCGTGTGTATTCGAGTTTAAAGTCCCTTTTGTTAGAGCCTTTACGCCTTGTGGAGTTTGGTGCATTCGCGATCCCAGGAGCATGTGTGGGACGTGTCACGCCAGTGTACACATGGTTTAAAACACGGTGATAATTTCAAGCATGAACCGCTTCCCAAACTTCGCGCATGTACATGAATGTGTTTGTGGTTGGATATTATTGGTCGCTGAGACCCTCCAAATGGGTGCGGTGCATTCCCGTGATTTTTTTTTTTTAATGAGAGCATAAAAATCAAGCTTTGGGGAGTGACTCGTCACTTAGTGGCAAGCAACTCAGGCTCGAGGTCTTCAAGGATACCTAAGTTCTTTGAATTCGCTCTCCAGTCTAGAGGACGCCGACGGAAGTTATGTGTTGCTATGGGTTTGCCAAGCTAAATTCGCCTCTAAGTCACGAACCCTAAAATCCAGAATTATTCTGTAAGTGTGATTTACTTATTGATATATCGTCGTTTAAAACTTGTGAAATTAGAATTGCTTGTAACCTTAAAGAGTTTACAGGCCTACGGCTTGTATAGACAAAACTAGCATCTTGATTTGGTTAATATCTCGCCATGGATTTAGCACTTATTTTGCGAGGACCGCTGGTGTGGTTTTTTATATATATATCTATCTTGAACAGATTAAGTAATCTTGTGGCCTGAAATCTAGATGAATGGGCACGGATACATTGTATTAAAGAAATATTTTAAATTTCGGGGCTTTTTTGGTTGGGAATGGGACACGCCTCTACCATCTGCCGGGAGTGATGCACCAATGCCATACTGGTAGTTTCCTGTTGACCTGACGTCACCTACTGGAGGCCCGACGCCGTCTTCACCCCTGTGTGTGATTCCCCTGTTCTTCTTTGTCTTGGTATCGTTTAAGATTGAGTGTAATGCACCCACTGGCTCACCTTTTTCAGGGAATAAGAAATTTTTGAAATGAGGGCGGTGGAGCTTGATAGGAAACAGACATTATTCACTGGCTTATGTTATGTCATCAGGAGAGTTGTTGCTGTGATGTCATTCCGCAAAGGCACTGTACAGTTTATCAGTTTTTCCTTGTTCAACGTTAAAGGTTAACAGGAATTGAAAATATGTAGTCCACGTGAATTATTTCAAAATAACAATAAATACGTAACCATTTCAAAAACATCATTAAAATAAAAATTTACCCCATGACCCCACATGAGTAAAAAGATCCTGTGTAACCCCGCCCAAAAAAATCCCATTTTGGCCGTTTGTGCTCCCAGGCTGATTTGATGACGTCATCAGAACGTCATCATCATTAAATTCATGATGCTTTTGAAATTGTGACGTATTTATTGTTATTTTGAAATACTTCACGTGGACTGATTGCTTTCAGTTTCTCTTAATCTTTAACTCAATAAAATTGGTTCTGGGAGAACTTTCATTCTGGATTTTTT